TCTGCACTTCATTACGTTCTTTTATTTTTAACTCGTGTTGTTTTTCAATCTCATTTAAACGGGATCAATACTTCTGTGGTGAATTTACAACTTCTGACTGTATTTCACTTATCATCTTGGACAGCTAAAAGTTGGTCAAAAAAATAACGGGCGATTTTCGATGGCAATGAGATATCTTGAGTACGGTGAAGTTTGTTCATAGACAGCTTCATGATGATCGAACGTGCCTACAAGAGAGTTTGAAGAAGAAAAAAGGATTAATACAACAAAGTATATAACGTTGAAAATAAATGTCAACATAACACGTCCGTTTTCTTCGTCGATTTCAATAGATTATTATTTGTGTGCGATTTAGTTAAAGGGAAATTACCTTTGGCCTCTCAAACTTCGAAATACTTAAAGAAATGAATGGTAACAGCTTCTTAAGTTATCTGCGTCTTGAAAATACACGAAATCCTCCGTCACTCCTCGATCACGACGTGATCACGACGTCTCGCCGATCTCGCTTCCGTAACAATAATAATAGAGATCCTATAGTGTAAAGCTGGTCACACACACTTTCCGTAGAACGTAACAGTTAAGATTTCGACCAATCGCGTTACTCGATTCGGGAACGTACGACCGAATCGAGTAACACGATTGGTCGAAATCCTACTGTTAAGCCCGATGTCCACGATGCAAGAACGGTGTCCAAGTTTCGGTTTAAGCCAATGAAACTGCTACTTTTCTGTAAGAGCTGCAAGTTGATTGGCTTAAACCAAAACTCGGACGTGCAGCCTGCGGCTGCCGCTCGCGATCCGCATTGATCCGCATGAGAACCTGGCGGCCGATCAAGTGCCAACCATGATTGGTCAATCTGCTCAACGACAAATGCGATTGGTCAGTTTCAATGGAATAATCGGTCGATTGACTGCTCCGATTGTGAAGAAGGCTTGAGGCAACTCGTCGCGCCTGCGCTCTCCCCTTCTCATCGCTCCTTCTCTCTTCTTCCTCCTTCCCCTCGCTTTCTCTCTCGCGTGGTCCGTGGTCGCGTAAATTTTCGTGGGTCCTTCGTGGAGATGCGTCGAACGGCGGTCTGGTTCGTCTGGCTCGCGCGATCCCGCCGTTAAAGGTGTCGCGCGTCGTCCCGCCGTCGTCGCGCGGATAATCATCGTGAATTTCACGTTAGCACGCGGCGCCGATGATAATTTTCGCGCGTGCCGGCTTTCGTTGAGAGAGAGAGAGAGACAGAGCGACGGAGAAAGAGGGAGGGAGAGAGAGTGTGGCGCGACGGGCTTCTTCATGTAACCCGCCGTAACCACGTGCTTGAAAATCCTGTCGGCCGTTACGGCCGGATCGACTTCGCGCGTAAGTATATTTTTGTCCGAGGCGCGATCGGGCGCGCGCTCGACGCCCGGAGCACCGGGATCCTCGTCGCCGGGGAACGGTACGTCGTCGTTTCACCACGCTGAAATACGCGATTGCTTGCAGAGCGCGCGATAAGGCGTCGAGAATATTCCGTCGTCGCGTCCGAACGGAGGCATGCCGAAATGACGGAGTTCGTGGACGGCTGGTTCCTGGGGCACACCCTGGGCGAGGGTGCCTACGGCGAGTACGTAGTCCTCCTTTCTTCTCCTTTGTTTGAACCTGGCGGCGATCCACGCCCGCGTCCGCATTATTCGACCTCGGCAGATAATTCGGCCGTGACTCACGAGATCCATTGTTCCCATTGTTCGGGACGCACGTTGAGAGACTCGCTTCGTTACTGATTTCAAGGCTTTGATTGATTTCGCGCTACCTCCACGTGTGATTTTTCATAGACAAGTTTTTTTTTATATTTAGGAAAATATATTAATTAAGGAAAATAATAAAATGTACATTTTACTCCAATTTTGATTATAATTTGATACTGTTTGCGCAGGGTTAAACTAGTTGTAAATAAATCTACAGGCGAAGCGGTTGCTATGAAAATGGTTGACATTGAGAAACATCCGGACGCGAGGCAAACAGTCCGAAAGGAAACCGCTATTCATCGTATGTTGTCGAATCCAAATATTATACAGTATTTTGGAAAACGCAGCGAACCCAACATGGAATATATATTTTTGGAATATGCTTCGGGCGGAGAGTTATTTGATAGAATTGGTAAGATTTCACTGGAATTTATAGAACGATACAGAAACATGTGGGAGAGATAGTAAAAGGTGCGGAATTAAATTTCGAGCTCTTTACAGAACCTGATATCGGTATGCCGATGTGGGAAGCACAAAAGTATTTTAGACAATTGATTTCTGGAGTAGAGTATCTGCATAGTCGCGGAGTTGCGCACAGAGATCTCAAGCCAGAGAATTTGCTTCTCGATAACAATGATAATTTAAAGATAAGTGACTTTGGCTTAGCAACGATATACCGTATGCAGGGTAAAGAGCGTCTTTTGGAGAAGAAATGCGGAACTCTGCCCTATGTCGCACCAGAGGTGCTGGTAAGGGCGTATAACGCAGAACCTGCGGATGTATGGTCTTGTGGAATTATTCTCGTGGCTTTGTTGGCTGGAGGTAAATGTTCTCCCTCTCCTTATAAAACTGCATACATAAATTATTGCTTTAATATCTTTGGCAAATGTATGCAGTCTATTTGTTAATTTTACTCCAAGTTGGAACTTGCAATTGCCAGTTAAAAAACTGCAAACAAATTCCCTAACATGTACAAGTCAATGTGCCGTTTGATTTGAAATTGATTGAAACATCTAATGCCTGACTTGCATTCCTTAGTTTTTAACTGGTCCATGTCTGAAATATAGAACTGCCATGGGACCAACCCCTGGCAGCATGTCCCGAATATGTCGCGTGGAAAGATGGGAAATATATGTCTCTTACACCGTGGAAAAAAGTGGACAATTCGTCATTATCGTTAATAAGAAAGATTCTTATGGAGTCGCCGTTGGCAAGATACAAAATGTCGGACATTAAGCAACACAGGTGGTTTGTCACAAGTTTTGGCAAAGGTAAAACGGCGTTTTAGACTGGTACTTTTAAAAACATGGGTTCAATATCTAGTATAGATATCCTCTATTTTTTTTTTTTTTTTAATATCCATAGAAGATTAACATTGGAGGCGCCAGATAGTGTTTACTTAGTCAGGTACTGAGTGACTCTGAGTATTAATAAGATTACTCAAGGGAACTCGGTACCTAATTTAGTGGATACTGCATACGACGAATTCTTGTTTTTTTTTTTCCTACATGAGTGCTTTATTAATGTTAATTAGGATTAGGAAGCTTTCCCACAGCGTAGAGTTTTGTGATCATCAAAGCTCTTGCCTTTTCTTTGGTAATACAGCTCTATGAGTTTAATTAAGTATCATAAAGCTAGATTACCAAAGCAGAGCGCATTGGCACATACTTCCGATGTAACGCGTACGAATTTTAGCTAAGTTTTACGTAGAATTTATATAGTAATGGTTGGCTAAGTGATAGAAACTGTATTTTGTGCAAAATCTTATATTTCCATAAGTATTATATTTTATAGATATGAAGTATTTGTGATTTACAGGTGATGAAGTAGATGGACGGAATCGTTTGGATCAGGCAGAGGATGAAAATCTAAGAAATGTCTGCTTGTCACAACCCGAATTTCCCGGGATGGAGAACGATGCGATTCAATTTAATTTAGGCAATCGTCCAACGTTTTCATTTTCCCAACCCGCTCACGTGGAAGATCTTTTATTAGGTACACAATTACAGGCGTTTACACAACCCAGTCAGGTATAACATCTTTTACTAAATAAATTTTGAATTAACGTACAATTATCTCGAAAAAATATTTCTACAACTTTATGTTTTCCTTCCAGCAAAACTCCTTTCAAAGATTAGTTCGCCGAATGACTAGATTCTTTGTTAAAATAGAATGCGAGGAAACTGTAAAGAGGCTAATAAGATATTGCGAGAAAGAGAAATACGCTTATCGCGTTAATGAGTCTGGCGTGGTAAGACGCACTATATAATATAGAAAATGAAAAAGTGATATATCAGTATTGAAAATTTATAGCATATATCATGTGCACTATCAATTTTCACTACTGGTAGTGAACTTTGCGATGTAGTCATTATTATATGTTTGCAGGTGACGATATTGACCATGGATCGACGCAAAATGTCTCTGGTTTTTAAAGTGAATTTTATAGAAATGGACGGAAATATATTGGTTGATTTCCGTTTGTCCAAAGGTTGCGGTTTGGAATTCAAGAGAGCGTTCATTAAAGTCAGATGCGCGATGGAAGATGTTATTCTGAAGAGTTCGGCAGTATATTCAAAAAATTAATAACTGTGACAGAGGCTCATAGATGTAGGAATACGTAATTTGTAATTTTGTAATATATTTTTGTAACATTTTATAATATTAAAAATCCTTGTCTTATATCAGGTTTTTAAATAATTCCATAGTGACACGTATTGATGTATTAGATGTCGGTTTGTCTCCGTTTTATCCTAGGTTCTAGATAGATTCTCTATTAGTGTTACGAGGATCGCGAATGTACGATGGAATGTTAGTGTAGAGTGCCCACATTCGTTGACTCGCGGAAAAGGAGAGAGAAAAATAAAGTGTGTGTGGCACACTGACATTGTCCAGTCAATGTATACACCAAGAGTAGGTTCTGAAATGATAATTGTACTGAAAAATCTATATTTTACATGAACTGTAGATACATTTCGAATGAAATAAATCATTTTAAAGCAACAGCTTCATAAGCAGTGATCTGTTATCAATGATAGAAATTTTATAATGCGTCAAAATCGATGCCGACTCGCATAGTAATAGTTTTCTTTTTTTATTCTCCAAAGACGGTATCTAAAATTCTATTTTATATTTAAGGTAATTTTAAATCAAGTTTTAATTGATTGTAAAATTCTACCTAATAAAACTATTGTGTGTCGAGATCATTATTGAAAATCTTAAATATAAGATTGAATTATGAATACCTCCCCTAAGTAAACATTTTAAGTGCTTTTAATAATAATAATAATAATAAAAAAAAAAACCGCAAATACATACTCCATCATGTATTTGACGCATTTAAAATTTGAAAATAATAAAACAGAAGACTTCAATTATAGAAAAGATTATTCTATCCAATCGCGACATTTGTACAATATATTTTCTACCGGAAGATATTCGCCTCATGTCCAATCTGATTTCCGTAATTTTTTACGTCTAGATTTCCGATCTCAGTAGCACGATATGTTTATGATCGAGGCCAGCCATCGCGCGCCGCAGCGTCATCTTCGCGACAAGCTAGTAACCCGCAATACGAGTGTTCGACGCCTGCGCGTGCGGTCGTTTCAGCGACGCTGTGTCTGTTGGTGAGAGCAGCGACACTCCGCGGTCCTCGTTTAATTCCGTGCCGAGCGTTTTGTCAATTTCATCGAAATGGATCCAGTAAAAATGTCCATGCAGCAGCACAGCAGAAAACGCGTCTGCTACTATTACGACAGTAAGTTATCGAGGGGAAACCACCGCACTTTGTGATCCCGCGAAAAACGTCGCACGCACACACACGCGCGTGGGGGGAGAAGCTTGTAAAATGTGTTTGCGCCGTTCGCGCTTACCGCGTCTATTTTGCATGCTCCAGCTCGGCATCCGGCGGCGTATCGGCCCGTCCGCGGCCCGTCAACGTCAAACACGTCGAGGCACGATCGTTCTACCACGTTACATCGTCCCTCGCATGCTCCCCGACGTAGATAATACGATTTTTGTCACGTTAAGACGAGAGATTCTCAGCCGCGGTTACGTGCGATCGTAGACAAGCTTGGGCAAGAGCAAAAGCGTCGGCCATTGCTATATATATGCACAGCCACCGTATACTTGAGCACCTTTGACGTTATCGAATCAATATCTCTCTTACTACAAATAACACATTTTGTAATCTACCTATTCTTGACGACGGCGGCTGATAATCGAAGAATTCGATGTCTCGATAGATCTTATGTAGGAATGGGGATCACATGTAATGGGACTTTGACGTTCTCCAAGTCACGAATTTTCAAATATTTGTTGCCATATGTGGCAATAATTATACGCCCTGCGCTTAGAACTGTAACTCTTCTCAACCGTGAGACGATGTTTTGTCACGAAAAAACCGAAACTGACAGCTGGAACTTCAGACGGCGATAGGTTAGGTTATGAGCAATATAGTAGGATTTTAGGAGATTATTGACTAATGCGAACTGCAAGAGGTCATTTCTCGAATATAATTCACCCTTGTCGAAGATAATTTCCCCTGAAAACGGTATTTCGGCGAACGCCGTGGAAGATGATACAGTTTTTGCATAGGTTATCGCGAGAGATTCTCAGGTGTGCTCCGGCACATCGTAGTTTGTCAGCCGACTCGCGTCACTCGATGATAGCCAAATATTTCGCGTCTATTGAATATCACGTTGACTCATTTACGCACGTGCCCTCTTAATTTATCTAGGTGATATTGGAAATTACTATTACGGCCAAGGACATCCTATGAAGCCACATCGCATAAGGATGACGCACAATTTACTTTTGAACTATGGTCTTTATAGGAAGATGGAGATATACGTGAGTACTCGTTGGAGATTTTTAAGCTTACGAAAAGCTATATTTTAATACGTCGCTGAATATAGTAGAATATTGTAATCTAATTGTATTTTATTATTGGTTAGCGGCCTCATAAAGCCACAGCAGACGAGATGACGAAATTTCACAGCGACGAGTATATTAGATTTCTGAGATCTATAAGGCCAGATAACATGTCGGAGTACAACAAGCAAATGCAACGATGTAAGATATCAATGGAAGAATTGAATAAGCTGGATATAATATCGAAGTCGAAAATATTCATTAATCTTTCCTTTTGCATTCAGTTAATGTAGGAGAAGACTGTCCTGTTTTCGACGGTCTGTATGAGTTTTGTCAATTATCAGCCGGCGGATCAGTAGCCGCCGCTGTAAAGCTTAATAAACAAGCTTCTGAAATCTGTATTAATTGGGGCGGCGGATTACACCATGCAAAAAAAAGTGAAGCCTCCGGCTTTTGCTACGTGAATGATATTGTGCTTGGAATATTGGAATTGCTCAAGTATCATCAGAGAGTCTTGTACATTGATATTGATGTTCATCACGGCGACGGTGTAGAGGAGGCTTTTTATACGACAGACAGAGTAATGACAGTTTCGTTCCACAAGTATGGCGAGTATTTTCCTGGAACTGGAGATCTTCGTGATATCGGGGCAGGCAAGGTAAAAAAAATTGTCAGAACATAGTAATTATTTATATTCGTAATGCTATTAGCATTAAATTACATGGTTTCTTCTTATTGTTAACAGGGAAAATACTATGCGGTCAACATACCTTTGAGAGATGGCATGGACGATGAGAGCTATGAGTCGATCTTTGTCCCTATTATCTCAAAAGTGATGGAAACGTTTCAACCTTCTGCTGTTGTTTTGCAATGTGGGGCTGATTCATTGACGGGTAAGACCTGTCAAAAGAAGCTATTATATTACAATGAAATGTTTGAGAACTTTTTAATATAAATCCTAACCAATACAGGCGATCGATTGGGATGTTTTAATTTAACCGTGAGGGGTCATGGCAAATGCGTGGAGTTCGTGAAAAAATATAATTTGCCTTTCTTGATGGTTGGAGGTGGTGGTTACACCATCAGGAACGTGTCCAGATGTTGGACATACGAAACATCGGTTGCTCTCGGATGTGAGATCGCTAATGAGCTTCCTTATAATGATTATTTTGAATATTTTGGCCCAGACTTCAAATTACATATTAGTCCATCAAACATGGCGAATCAAAACACTCCTGAATATCTGGACAAAATAAAGTAAACATTCTTACATTACTACGTTTAGTTTTGTGTGGCATCCTGTAAGTAAGCTAATCCGTAATTGTGTTTATTCGTAGAACGAGACTGTTCGAAAATTTAAGAATGCTACCTCATGCCCCTGGCGTACAAGTCCAGGCAATACCAGAGGATGGAGCGGTTATTGAAGATTCGGAAGCTGAAGAAAAGGCAAATCCGGATGATAGATTGCCTCAGCGCGACCTAGATAAAAGAATGCAACATGAAAACGAATATAGTGATAGTGAAGACGAAGGCGAAGGTGGGCGAAGAGACAATAGATCGTACAAGGTATGTGATCTTTATTATAACAGTATAATATTTGATGCACAATGGTAAAAATTTAGAAAAATACGGATGTTTAAATAGATATTCTTATCTTGGTCTTTTTTTTTATGTTAATCTAGGGATCTAGGAAGCGCCCTCGTTTGGAAAAAGGTCAGGAGGCCATGGATACTGATGTAAAGAAAGAAGATGATATAAAGACGGAACCAAAAGGTATTAAATCACATCCTATGCAATTAACGGTAGGGAAAAAGAATGTGATAATTATTTGAATCTCTTATTTAGAAAACGAAAAGGACGAAAAAATGAACCCCACGAATGAGGAGGCGAAGAAAGATGGCGGGGCGAATCCCTGATAGACGATTGCCCCGGAGCATCTCAGAAAATGGAGAAGTTCTTATTTAAATTAAGTAACAAATAAGTTTAAATAATTTAAATAATGGCAGCACACACAGTGCATAGATGTCTGTTGCCTCTACCTCGCGCGCGTCTTATAATTCGAAATTATTATGTTTTTATCAAAAATCTTGTGAAAAATGTTTAGACGTCTAGAAATATCGGATTTATTCGTGGAGTGTCATCCTCATTGAAATTGACACGTATGAGCGTGTACGTAGTTTACAGTACCCTGTAATTTTAATCATAGACGGTTAGGAATTTCGAAGCGTATCTCTGAGTGTTTTAAAATGTCTTTTTTTTCCCCGGAAGGTGAAAGTACCGCACAAAACCGATTAAAAATATCCATGTTTGCGAAACGATGTTTCGATCGATTCGGCAGAATTTTATAAAAATCTGACCGTGATTCTTTTTATACATATTTGTTTATTATAGCGTATCACTTCAACTTGTAGTGTCTCAATTTTCGTACGAGAGATCATGAATAGATCGTGACTGTGTTTCAAAACTTTTTATATAAGTACTTCAAGGATTTTTACAAACACGTACATACACATCCACAATTAGTCCAAGATTAAATCATAAAATATTGACGATCGATTTAGAACATTAACGAGATTTAAGACTACATTTCGATATTTACTGTCAGCAACTGTCGTAAAATATAGAAAAATATAGATTTTCAGTACTGACAGTGAATATCGGAATGCAGCCTATATCGCCCGAATGCTGCTGCAATCAAACTCATGTGAGATACATAGGATACATATGTAAACAATAAACATACGTCGGCCGCATGCATTTTGTTTGCGCGATCGGCGCGTACGTCTTCTTACCCATTCGTGATTGATCGAACCACTCGATAGAGACCTACACAATTTATACTAAGGAAGGGATAGAACTATCTCTTAAAAGCAACTGCTCTTGAAAAATCGTGCGTTGATGAATCTGTTCGCTTCCTATTCTTGTACATAATACGCAAATTAATCTTAAAGGAAATTAATCCTTGCATGCAATAACAATACTGTAATCATAATGATATCCTTTATGAAGGAATGTAAAATACATGTCTTACATTACTCGAAAAATTAGCAAATGTTCCTTTGGCTACCCCTTGGGTTTGTCTGATGAATTGCAGTGAATGTTATTATTAGCTTGTAACATAGAGAGCAAAAGTTACAGGAAATATCTGTAGCTTGACAAAATTGAAAGCTTACATATGTTTCATTCTATTGGACTTTATAGGAAGAACTTGTTACAAGTTAATTTCCACGTTCTGATTAGGTAAACTAGAGAGGTATCTAAGAAAGGAATGAATATCCTGATATTTTTGAGTAATGTATACGCAGGAGAGAAACACAAAATGAGGTCGGAAAGGAAATGCGGTAAAGCTAGGGCAGTTGATGATTTATGTAATCAATTTCAAGTGTAATTGTAGAATTTTAAACGTATACTAGACAAGACTTATCTTAATTTATATATAGATATAAAAAAAGATATGAAAATTTATTCACGTGACATCCGGATTGATCTCTGCGAGAGATGAATTCAAGATCGCGGTGTCATTCCAAGGATCGAACCTGCGTCGATCTTGGCGTGTAACAAAGATTTCATAACAAAATCTGCGTTCAAGCTGCATTCTCACGTATTTCCAGATTTTCGTATGCGAGAGCAATAATTGCGTATTTCCAACCTTATGTACATAAAATTTGTCCTCTTTTCTTTTCTTTGCGATGCCAGAATACTCGATCAAGTCGGAGCGGCGGCCGTGATCGATTTTACTTGTAATAATCTGTAACATGCGATGATTGATTGACATCATACACAAAGGCAAATTCAAAAGGATTATCGCGTTATGTCTCGTGTACGTCAATTCGAGATATAGATCAAGTATTAGATATTTAATGTCCACGCATAAGAGTACACATATGGACGTTTTTAAATATTTATAATAAAAAAAAAATAAAGAAATCTATATATGTAATTCTGTGGGATTTAAGTGTTCTTGGAAATTTAAATAGAACTAGAGAGGTTCTGAGGAACTCTCTTTAATGGAAATATTTTGCTGATAGTACTGTGAAATCGAAATGAAAAGTGAAATGAAAGTTGGTGAAAAATTATATTTCAAAATGGATTATAATTTTCCTTATATGAAATGTAATGTAGTACTGTGAAATATGAGGAAAGTTAAAAAGTAATAACAAACTTTTTAAATATTAGATATGAAATTTATACTAAATTTAACTAAAAACTGAATTTTTATTGAAATATTGATGGAATAATAATGAAATGGGGTCAATTGAATTTCAAATACATTTCAGTAAAATATTTCTATCAGGGCTGAGACGGTTCTATCAATCGCCTTCAGGAACAATTATGAACAAATAGATCTGATCATAAATGAATATTTCTTACTCATGCACGCACGCGCGCATATGTCGTACACGTGCACGCGGTGCACGTGTGTGGGCAAATGTGGACATGTGTCAGCGCATAGTACCGAATACCGAATGACCAAGGTGGTGCGTGGTGACAGTCCCGAAAAGCCGGCGTCTCGACAATTCCCTGTCAATGCTTCGGTTTATCACTAAAGTATGACGTAGTGTCGTAAAAATGATAAGAAGTATAGCGCGACTCGCGCAAATGAGTTCGATATGTAACCTATGTCGAACTGGGTTTAACCTCGCCGCAGGAAGGAAAATTGATTAATGCGTAGTTACTCGCATGTGAGATTTACTTTGCGCGCTGAAGAACCAGCGCAACATTTTCCATTAGTAAGTTTATATTTGTTCTGGCAAATTAACAACGAGCGCCTTCGAACGACTTCTGTTTTGACACTGACAGATCATTCTTGATTGCAGAGGTTCAATGAGATGTGAAATGTGAGCAAGGAGCCTGTTGGACCGCGTCGGATAAGGGAAAGTTACAACGTAGAATATTCCGGTCCAGGTTTTTCCAAAATGATCTCCCAAATGTCGCACGTGATGACCCTCGCTAATAGCATCATAGGTGTAAGCGTGTTGGCGATGCCCTTCTGCTTCAAGCAGTGCGGCATAGTGCTGGCGGTTCTAGTGTTGCTTTTGTGCAGCGCTTTGTCTCGATTGGCGTGTCACTTTCTCGTCAAGTCGGCCGTGATATCAAGGAGACGCAACTTCGAGCTACTCGCCTTCCATGCGTTCGGCCACATGGGAAAGTTTCTGGCCGAATTATTCATCATTGGTTTTATGCTAGGCACTTGCATCGCCTACTTCGTCGTCGTCGGCGATCTGGGGCCGCAGATAATCTGCAAGATGATGAGCAAGAACCCGGCGGACATTCGCACCAGTTTGCTAATTTTTACCGGGGTCTTCATAATCCTACCCTTGGGATTGCTTCGAAATATCGATAGTCTGTCCAGCATTTGCACCGCTACTATTGTCTTCTATGTCTGTCTTGTGTTAAAGGTATATAATGCGTAACTGTAACTTATTCATAAAAAATATCGTGCTCAATCGAAACACGTATAAGCGCTAATATCAATATATTTTCTCGTCTGATCGACAGATTATGGGCGAATCGACCTTACATATTTTTGTAGGAGATTGGTTTGACAGTGTTAATTATTGGAGACCAGCGGGTATCCTCCAGTGCCTGCCGATATTTTCCATGGCCCTTTTCTGTCAAACACAGCTGTTTGAAATATACGAAACCATTCCAAATGTATCCTTAGAGAAGATGAACGACGTTGTACGAGGAGCATTAAATATATGTACGCTTGTATATATGTGCGTTGGTTTGTTTGGTTACATTGCATTTTGTACCCAACCGTTCACAGGTAAATCAATAGAGCTGTTACGCTAAACAGGCTGTACTTAACAATGAACAGCTTATAATTCGTTGTCACTCATTTTACTGTTGCTCTTTTTGTTATATTGCAGGAAATATTTTACTGAGTTTCGAACCTAGCATAACATCAGAATTGATTAAACTGGGATTCGTGTTTTCGGTCGCATTTAGTTTCCCTCTAGTCATATTTCCATGTCGTGCGAGCTTGAATTCTCTTTTATTTCGCCGGGTATGTATGCACCAGACAGATCTAGAGGCACAAGTACAACTCTAATTCACGTTTTACTGCTACGTTAGGTGTATACCCACGAATCGTCCGTCAATTATTTGCCAGAGTCCAGGTTTCGATGCTTAACCATCGTGATAGTCAGCATTTCTATGACCATTGGTATTTTAGTACCGAACATAGAATTCGTTCTTGGTATCGTGGGATCGACGATTGGCGTGATGATCTGTTTGATATTCCCGACGGTGTTCTTTATATCTATAAGCAGCAAGAACACAAATGAAAGACTAGTAGCGCAGGTAAAGCCGATCTCAACTTGACGATTTTTTTTCTTTGAACTCTTTTTACAGCGTATATTTTACGTTTAGGGCATTTTAATCGTCGGCGTTTGGATCATGATCCTCGGTACGTACGCCAATTTGTACGCTATGGAGGAGTCCACGAACACAAAATTAGCGATGACCAATAAGCCGCTCGTTCAAATCAATAATTTACCATTAAACATAATTAAAGATGATATACATATCGTTCCCGATATTCCCAACAGTTTGGAACTTATTCCCAGAGCAAAAGGTACAAAGTTATTCAAATTCATCTATCACTTTTGTTATTTTAATTTTACGTTATATTACTCTTTTAACTTTACGTTGCAGACAAAATTAATCAACTGCCTGAGATAAATATTCTGGATAAAACAGAGCTGAAAGTGAAAGACGTTCGACAAGAGCCGCCAATACCCGTAGAACGTTTGATCGCCAGCGAAAAGCCAAATATCGAAAAACCTGATAAAATAGCAGTAGGCTCTCTTGTGCCAGAAATAAAAGATATAGTTGAAACGATAAAAAACGATAATTTAAACGCGCAATCGCAAGTTGCCACAAATACTGATGTTAAAATCGATGTTAAAATCGAAGAATCTGTTACTTTGAAAGCGGAGGAGAAGATAAAGATAATCGAGGAGAAGGAGCAATCGATAGACTTGCAGAAGAACGATAATCTTATTAATTTAGATGCCATAAAGAAGGAGGAGTCAGAATTGGCGGCTGACGGAGACATCGCTAATGCCAGAGCTGCGGAACGACACGAGCAGCTCAGAAAAACACTGGAGAAGCATAAATTGGAGCAACGTCAGATGATGCAGGAGCAAAAGGAAATTCTTAAGGATATCAAGGAACAAAAGCAAGAATTCGAGAGGGAGAAGCAAAGAATGGCGAAGGGCGAAATACTAAAAAAGAATGAAAAGGTACAAATTGACATGAAGGAGAACGTTTTACCAGAGATCAGGAGCAACATGGGAGAAAACGATAAAAAAGCTGTGGAAATAAACGAGATTATTATCGAAAAAAATAATAAAAACGTTTTGAAAGAAAAAGAATGGAGTAACGTAGATAAGGTAAAATTAGATGAAAAGCAGCAGCCTCGAGACGAGAATAATGTAAACGTCGTGGTTGAAGATAGCAAGAAAAAATTAGATGTGTTTCACGAAATTTCTCAAAACAAGAATGTAGAAGAATCGCAGAAAATATCAGAAAACGCACCAGATAAACTCCCTATTAAAGAGGCAATTGTCGACCGTGAAACACCGGAGAAATCATTACAGAAGGAAAAGCAAGACGAGACAAAAGTAGAAAGAATAGAATTTAATGATTCCAAAAATATGAAGGGTCCTATCTTGAACGTTTTATCGAAAGGAATTCTACCAAGATCTGTTATGGAAGAGGGACTTGCTAAAGAGAATGATAATCGTCAGGCAAAGGAAGAGAAAAGAGAGGTCCTTACGAATGACGTTGCGAACGCGTCGGATAAATTGCAAGAGAAGTACGACGATAAGTACTCTGTACCCGTAGCATTAAAAATGACGAATCAATCAAAATTAGACAAGGTAATAGTTCCATCATTGAATAAAAGCGAACCTGAAGTTCTCGCTATACGTCGAGATATCCTAGAGAATAACGAACGCGAGAAGAGAGACGTCGACGGAGAAATAAGTGCGAACGACACGAAGATCAACGGCGAGCGTTTAACTGAGAAATCTAAATCTCTTGTTAAAGATGTCGAAGATGCGGACAGCGAGACCTGTTCGAAATTGCAGGAAAGTTCAAAGAAATCAGAGGCAGAGAAGGAATCCGAGAGAAGAATAACTAAACCGAGTACAACTGAAGTGCCTCTGATTAACACAAATCTCTATTTGTCCGAGCAGAGAATAACAAAGACGATATCTATGGATCAGCATGCTGCTCTAGATTCGGAGTACGCGGGTATGAAACAAGAAGATTCGAAAGTTCTTAGTCCTATGGATAAAACTGAGATATAAATGTCTAATTCTCAAAAGAATATTCATGGCATAATATTAATTTTATAAATCACGGATCGCTCGTTGCTTTCCGAGTTGCGCTGTGCCTCTTTATTTACGTTCATAAAATTATTATTAAATTATCAAGTTCAAGATGCAATGGAAATTTCCCAGATGAATGCGTGTGAATTGCAAGAGTATCATGATATATTTATGATATTTATATAACTTATGTAATCGTACGAATGCGATTTTTAATGTGCGACTGCTGTTTATATTATGTTGCACACTACATTTTTCTTTACGTCGTGTAACAATTGTAAAAACAATGCGAGTATTGGTCTAAAGTATTTAATTAAGTATAGGACCAAATATATAGATGTATTTTTACACAGCAATTCGAGTTTTGCCATAAATCGTCTAATTTACCAAGGTGTTCCAATTTCAATCTCTTATATATTATAATTACATTACAATTACAGATATTGATACAATAGCTCCGATATCTTGATAGATATATGTTGCATTACGTGTCTTTAATATCCATTGGTTCTGGTTTAGGTTCTGTAATTTCTGCGTCTCTACATTTCGCGTATTGTAACTCTCTTCTGATTTCGGGAGTGATCGAATGGTGCGACTGTTTCCTCAGTAGTCCCAGCAAGGCCTCCTTTTGCTCAGAACTGATATCGCTCTTGTATCGTTGCACGAAAGTCAAGAAGGCCTGATGCCATAGCACTGGCAACTCTCTCCTGTCTCTTTCGAACCTAATGGATTATATTCATTATGAACACGATTCTTAATAATTGCCGCTCGAAATTCGTTCTGTTACTATTATATATATCTTACCTAAGAAAGTGAAATACTACTCCGTCCACTACTCTGTAGGGAAGCGCATATTTCTTATCCAAAAATATCCTGAGAAAAATGCTGTTGGCACCCGTGTAATCCATCTCGGCGATTTTCAATATAGCCGCCGAGGAATGTAAAATCGGTATCGAGTTCTTCGCGATTACAGATCCGACGATAACAGCCTCCCTGAGCGTGCATGTTCCCGATTCCAAGAGCGGCAGGAGGAGTCCCTTCATAAATCCGGCCGGCTTGAACAGCGCTTTCCTCAGAGCCTGGTACAAATGGAAATTCAGCCTTTTGTATTCCGCCAGATCGTCCCTGATGCGTGGTAACAGGACCAGGTTGTAGAACCTCTGGGCCATTTTTTCCTTCAAGTTCGAGGCGAATATCCTTGTCGCCTGATACATGGCGGCGGCAGACCACTTAGGTGGATCTGTAATGTACAATATTTGCTCCCAGTTCCTCAAGGTAGGCACGATCTTGAAGGCTTTCGGCAGTTTGCCGCTACGATACTTGGCCAGGACGTCTCGGACACCCTCGTACATCGCCTTCACCCGCGGATCCAGATCCTGCATTTGAATAACCCCGGCGTCAGAGAATTGCGTGTCAATCTCGGTCTTCTTCTCCGTCAGTTTTTCCATTATTATGTCGGCCAGCGTCCTCGTCGGCGCTGGGTCCTTCGACATGAACATCTGCAACGCCCGTTCATCGTCTTCATCGATCTCGATGTTCTCATAATAATATACATCCTCCACTGGCTCCTCATCGCCACTGGACTGATCCTCGTCGCTCAGACCAGAGCTGAATTTGACCGGTTTCCTCGCGCGCTTGGAATCATCGCTAGGGCCAATCTCATCTTCGATCTCCAGCTGCTGTTGCCTGGCTTGCGACAAGATCTTCTTCGTCAGACTTGGTGCCACATACTAGACGAGAAATAATTATAGAAATTACAATTAAAGAAAAAATATGTAAAAAAATGTTTTAAATGCGTTTTTTCCCAAGAAACTCAATTATCTCTGTTCGATTTCAGAGACTTTAGAGAGGAAATAAAAATTCGATAAGGGAAATAAATGTGGACTAACCTCTTCTTCGTCGTCGGCCCGGTGCCTAACTTTCTGCCTGTTTTTCACCTTCACTGCTTTCTCAAGTTCTATTTGCTCTGCCAAACCTATTTTTTGTTCTTTAGTTTCACCTTTAGACACCTTGATTTTCTTCGCTTTACCCATTTTTCCACTACTGTTAGTTTATATCCAATACTAGTTTATATTTCTAAAACAAACACGTGTTTTTCACACGAGAGGCACGTCACGTGAGTCGTGAAGATCGATATTTATCGAGCTACCTGCGGCGTTTTCATCGCAAATTTGCATACAGCAGATACGATCGCAGCGCTAGCGGACGATCTGTGAAGCACAGGTCGTTATAAAAAACTATGAAAACCTACCTTTAGGTGAACGCGCGAATCGCGGGACTTCTCGTCGAGGAGAGCGAAAGATCGCGAGGCGGGAATGACCAATCCGATGCCGTACCATCGTCGAACACCTTTCTCATTCGATAACGACGATCGCGCCATTCGCTGGACGTGGAAGCGAGAGAAACGGCGGTCGGCGAGAGGGAGCTGCGCTACCTATTCTTCTCCCCCCGAGCTAAATCGCGAGGAACCCCAAACTCCAAACCCCAAACTCGACGTCGGGAAAGGGAGAAAAGTAGGGGAAGGAGCCGTGCGAGAGGACTGGAGTCAAAAGAGAGAGAGATAGAGGCCTTTGTAAAGAAAAAAAAGAGAGAAAGGGATCACTGACGTGCGAGCGGTGCGAGTTAAAGCGGTGCCATCGACAACCCAGATAGCACAGATTCACTCACACATATGTAAAGCAAAGAAGGTGCTGTACAGGGCCTCATTCTAAAGAAAAGGAAATACTTTTTTTCTAACATTTAGAATCGTCCCATAGAGAGGAAGCGGTCCGGAAGGATCTACCACCGCTCCCGTTCGCCGTCGGTCGCGCTTTTTCGTCTCGCGAGAGTGCGGGAGTGAGCGCGACGCGACAGAAGACAAGACAGGACACAGGACAGGAGTTGTCGCCGTCGCCGTCGAGGCGATGCTCGCGGCAGCGTAGAGACGGAGGGACGGAAGGGGGAGAGGAGAGAGCGAGGAAAAGGGCGCACGCGCGAGAGCGAGCGAGCGAGCGAGAGAGGAGGATAGGCGGCCGGAGGGAAGTGAGAGAGAAAGAAGGAGAAAGTGAGTGAGCGAGGGAGAGGGAAGAGGGAGAGCGAGGCGGAGGCGAAAGATCCGCGGATGCGGCGGGGTGTCTGCACCCGTGCGTGAATCACGCTTCAGAAACGCTCTCACTCTCTCTCTCTCGCTCGCCGTCGTCGTCCTCGAGTGCACCCCGTGCTCGTCGCGACATTGACCCGTGCGTGTCGTGTCGTGTGTCGTGTGCCGCCGCCGGACGCCACCACACCGACGGACAGCCAACGGAAGCAGAAGCCAGAAGCAGCAGGCAGCGAGCAGCCACCCCGATCGAGCGCGAGGGGAGAACGGCGGCGGCCAGCCAGCCAGCCAGCGGCGTCTCTCTCGGCGCCGATCGAGGAGAGCGACACCCACGAGGAGGCCGCCGAGTCGTCCCCCCGATCCTCTGGACCTCCCGAGACCCCCGACGTCGCCATGACTCGTCCCGCGCGGGTTTCGCGACCGGTACCCGGTGTTCTGTGATGAAGGGTGTCCTCGCGGCGCGGTGAGAGGACTCCTCCAACCTGCGGACTCTCTTGCCTGCCGGGTGTGCCTTCCGAGGGATCCTCGCGGTTGCTCCCGGGACGCGGCAGCGACGTCGTCGTCGACGGAGGGTGTCCCTTCCTCGAGGAGAGGAAGTATCCGCGAGGTGTCGAGATTGAGAGTCGCGAGAGAGAGAGCGACGAGGCGCGATAAGTATTATATATAGACGTGGACACACGCGTTGACGAGACGCGGGTACGATTAAAGGCGTAGAGACGCAGCAACGGAGGATAGACTGGCAACAAAGGACCAGAAGCGGATACAACATGTCAGATGAGGAAGACAAACCCCCTGCACCCCCTGTTCGATTGACATCAAACAGGTACGTCTTGTTATCTACTCGATACGATCGCTAATTAATCTACCAAAAGAGAATCGAATGCTGCAGGGTGATCTTGTTTTGATTTCTGGAGGAATTTTATACCTTAGCCGAGGGAGTTCCGGTTTTAAGGCGCCGCGCCGGAGACTCGCCTTCACCCATCCCACTAAGGGTAGGATTTGCTAATAACATCGACATGTGTCGACTTGAGCATTACTTGGTATTTAGTAGCAGTACTTACTCGGCATAAGTACTGCCATCCTGTTATTAGCCATTCACCCTCCTCCTTTATCCAGGCTTGGGACCGGCGCGCATGAGGACCATACGTGGCGGAGTTACCACTGAACTTATACATGTAAAAAATTCATGTTTTATGTTTAAAGAAGAATTGCTGAGACAGCAGTCGATTTCACAGTATAGTTCATATTACATTTAGTATTTTATGACGTTCACAAGTAAAAATGTGTAATACACAGATAATTGGAGCAGAAATAATTGATGTGCTAGTATGTAATCCACAGTTGAGTAATAGCATAAGTTACCATAACTTTTGTGTTTTCTATACATAAAAGTCTGTATTCTCCAAAAATAGAGAGGCATTAAGCTATGGGCTGCTAAAAATAATATCTCTCCGTGGCTTTCTGTTGTGGGAGACACCATCATTAATGGTGTCTAGACGTAATCCCGGCGTTGCCCTAACATATTTGAGAGACTGCATGCTGTCAGGACATCTAAATATATCTACATATAGTCAAACTTACTCCGTGATGCTTATGACAGCGAAAGTACTCTTAGCCCTTAATAATCATTTGTGTATGATATTTTATTAACTATTTTATACAATATTGAAAGGTCATATATAATGATCTATAATCACATGTAATAATGTGACACATGGTTTGACAGAATAATGATATAATTGGATAATCATTGCTTCACGATTGCGATTGATCTGCTAATAACAATACTATTTGCATTTCCAGGGGGGAAGCGCCTAATCTACCTGTGGATATGCGCCCACTGCCTAAGGAGCCGGATTCTGACGAGCGCAAGAAGAAGACCCTGAAGAGCAAGATGAAGGTGAAGGAGAACAAGGACAAACCCAACATCAGTTACCCCACGAACTTCGAGCACACCGTGCACGTCGGATTCGATGCCGTGACCGGTGAATTCACGGTAGGTTCTCCCGACTCGCGATTTGCACACAGTCACTTCTCTACACCTATTATTCAAAGTGCACTCGCTTAATGCTTCGCTGTATCACGGTGCGGACTATCTATGGGAGAGACGATAGGGAAACATGAGTTTTATATCATCGTAGATCACTATTGGCACATGTATTACATATCATAATTCTATTTCTCATGTGAATATATACATATATAATAAACATGGATCTTCCGTGCCTGATCAAAATGAAATATGAGACACTGATTCACATCGAATACTTCGAGAACGGTACCTTGGTAATTTGTCCGACGCTTCTTATACCTTATTATTTCCACATGACTAAACTAACAAGACACGTATTTCTTTCCAAGCTGCCATTGAAAGTAAGTAAATAAATATGAATTAGTTTGCCTGTACTTTATGTTGTACATACATTTACACCACGTGGTTCGACACTTTCTTTTCGTTGCGGTTTTTAAGATTTAAATGTTTATTTTCCAATTTTTGAGTATATCGAGTTTCATATTCGATATATAGTTGCTTTTGTAGATTGATATAAGCTTTAGTCGACGTTGCATACAACAATATGTTCATTTCTTTCTTACAGAATGATTTTCGATAGTGAATGGGAATTTATATAAACTTTGTAAATTCTGTTTACAAATTATGTTAACTTCAAAGTTGAAACACTGTGCATGTATTCAGATAGTAATTTTAGAAAATTAAATGATGACTTTTGATTAGATCTTTAAAATTTTATAGTCGTCTTTCACACACATATACACATTAAGAGAATTAATATCAAAGTTTAAAATATTCTTTCCAAGTTTTTTCTTATACACGAATGACAAATTCAGAAAAGAGTCATGTCAAATATTTTTCACAAAAATTCTAAATTAATTTCTTGAATGAATAAACAAATGTCGATTTGATTGCATCGTGATTAAAATTTCTTAGTATCTGTCATATAAATAACATGACATAGAAATGTTGCTCGACCTTACTACACGTGATAGTTGCATGTTCGAAAATCAAATCTAGGATTAGTATATTAGATGCATTTTACATAAACTAGTTATACTTGTCAGACTCCATCCGCCAAATTGCCATCTGTGTTTCGTGGTAAACATTGCCATCTGTGTTGGTGGTAAACATGATAGTCGTTGTTTAACAGTACGTGTTTGCTTCTTAGGGTATGCCGGAGGCGTGGGCGAGATTACTTATGTCCAGCAATATTAGCAAGCAGGAACAGAAGAAAAATCCACAAGCTGTGTTGGATGTACTAAATTGGTATGACAGTAGCAGTAAGGAAGCAAAAGGCTCTAAGTACATGACTACAACTAAAATGGTTGGAGTTGTCGGTAAGTACTGATATCAATTCGCTCATACAGATAAATAATTTGATTTCAATAATTACGATATTCGCTGTATTAACAATAATGCAACAATACTCCTTCAGCTCCAATCGAAAGGGCGAGTAGTCCGCGAAGTATGGGAATAAGTATCGGCACGGGGGTGGGAAATATTCGCGGCCAGGCGATGTCTCAGGCATCCGGCAGCTCTCATTCTCAGCATTCGTTAAGCAGGTGAGTCTTTTACTTTTACGCGTTGCGCTCGTCCCTTGGTCGCCTAAATATTTTCTGAGAAACGGCAACGTTACAGAGTGAGCAGCAGTAGCCCGAGTAGCACGCCGACGGACGCGTGTGCGACTAGCTCGGAGCAGGAAGACGAGCCACCGCCTCCGCCGATCTCCGCCCGACCGGAACGCACGAAATCGATCGTAAGTTTTTTTTTATTTTCACGCGCACTTGAACTAATCCTAGTCCGTCATCCGTGACATTTTACTAAATGGAACCTCACTTTCACCGTGCAGTACACAAAACCCATAGAAGAGGAACCACCGCCTCCCTTGACGACCACGCTGGGCTCGCCACAACGAAATGGCATGCAACAACAACAGCCCCAGTCGCAGTTAGATAGAAATAAGAATCAAGCAACGCCGACGTCAACAACGACCGATCAGACGCGACCGGCGCAAGGTGATAAAGCTAGAAAGAAGAAGATGTCGGACGATGAGATATTAGAGAAGCTTAGAACAATCGTGAGCGTGGGAGATCCTAATAGAAAATATACAAAAATGGAAAAGATAGGACAAGGGTAAGCGGCCAATAAACGACTTCATATAGAGCCGAATATAGAATTCTATACAGTTAACTGTACTGATTAACGATCGTCTTACAGTGCCTCGGGGACAGTGTATACAGCAATAGAAACGTCCACCGGCATGGAAGTTGCAATAAAACAAATGAATCTGTCGCAGCAGCCAAAGAAAGAGCTTATAATAAACGAGATTTTGGTAATGCGGGAGAACAAGCATCCGAACGTTGTAAATTACTTGGATAGTTATTTAGTTGGGGAAGAACTCTGGGTAGTCATGGAATATTTGCCAGGCGGCAGTTTGACGGATGTTGTGACTGAGACTTGTATGGACGAAGGTCAAATTGCTGCGGTGTGCAGGGAAGTGTTGCAGGCGCTCGAGTTTCTTCACTGTAATCAAGTTATACATAGGGACATCAAGTCCGATAATATTCTATTGGGTCTTGACGGCGGGGTAAAATTGACGGATTTTGGCTTTTGCGCGCAAATCTCACCGGAACAGAGCAAACGAACGACGATGGTTGGCACGCCGTATTGGATGGCGCCGGAAGTGGTAACGCGAAAGCAATACGGACCTAAGGTAGATACACATGTCGACTGTTATTCATAAAAATTAATTGAATACGGATTACACGATTAATCGTAACAACGTATCTCGGTGTTGCAGGTTGATATATGGTCGTTAGGAATAATGGCAATCGAGATGATCGAAGGGGAGCCACCGTATTTGAACGAAAATCCATTGAGAGCATTGTACTTGATTGCGACAAACGGCAAACCGGAAATTAAGGAAAAGGACAAGCTATCGGGTATATTCCAAGACTTCTTGGACCAATGTTTAGAGGTCGAGGTGGAAAAACGGTCCGCGGCTTCCGAGCTATTAAAGGTAAGAAGAATTTATTATTAATATGTAGAACGTGGAAATGCGTTCTTGTTATATGCGCGTACTTCTCTCATTTCAATTTATTTAACTGGAAATGTGTGTTTAAATTGAATTTACAGCATCCCTTTCTGAAATTAGCCAGGCCACTAGCTTCGTTAACACCTTTGATAATGGCAGCGAAGGAAGCTGCCAAAGGTCATTAAGAAACAGTTGCGTTTAGATTTTAGATTCGTAAGACGCGACTCCAAGAGTTCGGTTATGCGAAAAAAAGAAGGAAATAATGAATCACCCTCCCAAAATGGAAACGGCACAATAATTCAATAATATATAATAAATAATGAATATAAACGTATATATATATATATTAATGAATAAATATACATATATATATGTATGCATACATATGTGTATATCGTATGTGAATATTATAATAAATGCGACGTGTCGTATGTTATACATGTATACACATACGCATGCATATATCCATTACGTACGCATATAGATAGATAGATAGATAGAACTTATTCGATACCGTGATGAAGTATCGAAGAAACGGTTGCAAAGTTTTTAAAAAAAGAAATGCTCGATTCTCGCACGTTGCGAGCGCGAACACAAAGTTAAATCAGAACATCTTTCCGAGGACAACGCTTGTCCGCATCACGTGTGTTCTTCGCTGTAAGTCCAACGTAACTGTCTTTAACGTGTTTTGCAAAAAGGACGAGAAAAGAAAGAGTGGAAGATCAATGAAACTGTAAAACAAGGTTCAGACGTAGGAGCATTTTGTGACACTATAAAGTGCCTGTCTTGTCGTTTAGAGACGTGAAGAAAAAAAAAAAGAAAACTCGCGCTAGATTTCTTATGAACCACTGTATAACGATATGTAATATTTCGTTTTAGCACCGTGGAGGAGGAAGAAACAAATAATCGAATACGCATATAATGGAGTTTAGTTGACGTTTTGTGTAGAACGAATTGTGGTTCCGTATGTATGGTTGTATTTGCATCGAACATTATTCGAGATACGTCTTTCCTAATATTGTATTATACGTCATCCAAGTGTCATCGTGTCATCGAGAAATGAATATATCGGAAGTATTTAGTTAATTTAGGCGATATCATGACTTGTAGATTTTCGTATCGTCTTCTTTTTTATTCTTTTCATTTTCGTACGTCGTATCCATTATTCGACCAGGATATCCACTGCGCGAAACTAAGAATGTTTGAAAAAAGTGAAAAGAGTGTTTCTATGATTAAAATGAGAGGTAAAAGGAACGAGCTAACGCAAGTTAATTAGCAGAATATTTAAATTTTTTGACGTTCTGTTGGGGGGTGTGCGGAATATATAGGTGTGACCCAAGAGTAATGAGAATGAATTTATTATAGTCCATTTACATACCTGATCGACAGTACTTCAGATCTCCCTCAAAGTAGGCTCCTTGGGAACGGATACACTGTTCCCAGCGGTTCTGCCATTCCTAGAAGCAGTGCCGGAAATCCTGTAATGTGTTCAGCGCGTGTGTCGCGGTCTTTTGTATCTGGTCGTGACCCTTTAACAGACTTTTCACTTTGGGAAAGGCAAAGAAATCACATGGAACCAGGTCAGGGCTATAGGGTGGGTGTAGGACAGATCGTGAAACAGTTTGACTTAGGTCTTTGATCATAAAATAAGGCAACAATTGTACACAAATTGGATTTTCAACCTCTAAACTATAAGAGGCGCCACGAATATTTAGTTAATCATGTATTTTGGGATTTGTATTTTCAATTCTTGTTTATTTATATATCGGTCTAATATAGATTATATTAAATCATTATATGATAGAAATAAATCTAATCTACTATATAATGATATCTATTATAATATAATCTATTATAGATATCTCTTATAAAATATAATGATGAAAAATTTGTTTTATGCGTTCCAAGACCTGCGAATTGGCTTGTATCAGCTTGTCCTTTCTATCTCAAATGTAAGAATTCAGAATGTCAGAATTGTATGAGAGAAAGCTATTCGTGAATGGCGGAAAAAAGAGATACGTCGAGACTGAGAAAAGAAACATCTAGATAAATATTCGCGTTCTATTTCGGATAAATACTCCAAATCAATAATATTCCGGATTTCGACGTTATTCTTTTTCCCTTCTTTCGAGAGTGGCACGTACTTCCAGACTTCCGGTCTTCGCGCGGTGGATGGGTAGCTCGGTCGATGAGATTTTTCGTTATACATATATGTATAGGACTCATATATAAATTAATATTAACTCAAACCTTGTGAGAATATAAATATGATAGTTATAAATCGAGAAATTAACGATACACTTATATTGCGTGCGAAACAAGAAGAAGAAAAGAAGGAAACCCGTATATTATTTGATAACGAGCAATCGTATAATAAGGCATATTCAATATTCGACGAGTTTTTATTGTTTTCTTCTCCTTTTTTTTTTGTAGTATCATCTTTTGAAAGAAGCCTGATTAGATTTTTATAATGTACTTGACCGAGATAGGGAGAAGAAGCAGCTCAGTTTGTATCAACGCTTACGACCGAATTTAAGGCTGGTATACTGAAGGAACTTAATGCAGTGTAACTTTAAAAGAATCAGGGACTACGTAATAGAAATAGAGTATACAAATTAAATTCGTGCTTGTTGAAGTATTTCGTGAACATATATTGCAAACGCTCGGCATTAATCTCCGCTTCGGCATCCGTCTCTAAAATCGGTCGAACTGTGACAAGTTAAGAGACAAAGTAACGTGCGCACGTCTTAGTATTAACGAGAAGAAAAGTATGAGTGTGTAAAGAAAAAGATAGGTGCGATCCAGGGTTAAAGGTGACGATCAGAAACACTAAAGACGCGGGGTCCTGCATTTTCACAAATATCTCGGAGCGATAGAGCTTTGTCTTTCTGTTTTTTTTTTCGCGGCAGTTATTTTAACAGTAGCACAGCTATTAGCAACTAAATAAGCAGCTATTTTTCACTTGCGAATCGGGTCGCGCGAGATGCAAAACTGCCTGCATAAAAAAAATTATTACCCGATCGACGCACAACCCGATTGAAGCGCATCTTAGCACGTAGACGCGTTCACTGATAATGGTACCGGATGAACCTTTTATCGTGTGAACAAAAGTACAAAAATTGTCATGAGACATGCCTTATCGTAATAATAATAATAAGTGATGCACCACGAAAGTACTCATTATTTTTGACATTGACAAACGAATCGCAAAACGTATAGAAAAATGTACGAGAGCTCTGGAAAAAAATACGGGCAGGCGAATTTTTTAACGTAACGAGAAAATGCGGGCAACTTTGCATCCATTTGTGCATCCATAACTTGATGATCGTTCCAATTGCATTTAATTATCCGCTACGTGCGCTACGTGTATTTTATCGTCATTTTAGGTTCTTAAAAATAGGTTCCTAACATCGCGAATCATGTTAAATGTGTGTATGCATGTTTTTGCTGTAGCATTTTACGATGTTTTTGAAAATGCTTTGTGATCTCCGAGTGAAAGACAGAAGTAGGCCTATAGTAACAAAGTCGCTATTTTACTGCAGAGATTGAAAAAAAGAAAATCTTCGATTTTGATCCTTCCTCGATGGAGGAGGGTTCATTCGACTTTAACTTTTGTAAGAAAAAAAAAGCATTTATCGCTATCGGAAACCATTCGACAGAAATCTGGTCTCTCAGGAAGAATATGTGAAATTTTTATGACGATGAAAATTTCAAGGCGAGGGAATGCAAAAAAACAGAAAAGGAGTAATGAATTGTAAAAATAATGCCTAGAATTTTGCGTATATATTGTATTATAACACCTTTCAGTTTGTTTTGAAACGTTACAATATAAGGAAACATTTTATAACAAACATGGTTCTCTCTTTTCATACAAAATATCCTTCCCTGCTTAACATTAAGAGGAATGAGAAATGATGACTACCATTGCACATTTTATTCCTCATTTAATATAATTTAAGTTAGAATAGGTGGTATTTACACATTATGGCGTTTGTTGAAAAAATAATATCTCTTAGTTAGACATTTCTATCATCTGTCGAGTATCGCGCTTTCTCACACCATGTGGCATACGTACATCCTATGTGGGTGTTACACCTTTGTCCGTTGATACGGATATGTACCTGTACATTTGTAATATCGAAAATAGTACACAATAAGATTCAAGAGCACTGATAGCATGGAGTTGGCTTCTCGTCGCAAGTGAAAAGTCGGTCGGAAACGCTTTGTATTCACATCAACAATAGATTTCTTTAACTTGCGTAGAAGCTTTAAGGTAGAAAGGAGCATTCGTGAATATATTATGAAAATCACATACAATTAGCATTATCATCCAATCGAATGTAGTAAATAATGTAAAAACGTTTGTTGATAGCACATCGTCAGAAGTGATAAAACACATTAAATATTCCCTATAATAGTAACGAACTCACTTTACAGCCTATTTGATATCTTGACGATAATTATTACTTTATATCTCTTTATAACGTATAAAGAAATCAGAGGTATTTTAATATTTATAGCACGAGATATAGTTTTGGTCAAAATTATTAGGCACCCTTGTAATCATTATGCTGTACTGAATCTAATACCGACAAAGGCTTCTATTGTTTAAAAGTTGTTTACTAGAGTGTTTATTATTATGAACGTGTGTATACGTTTATTTTTTATTTCTTTCAAAAATAAATAATAGGGTTATTTTAATAGGGTGCCTAGTAATTTTGGCCAAAGTAATTCCTCCTTCGTGAGTCTCGTTATATAAATATTAGGTATTTAGAATGTAATAAGCGCGCGCGAGCTGGTTTTACGTAGACTTCTTCTCCTCCCCCGCCGCATGGAAGCTTATGGAGGCAGAATTGATGCAGAAGCGCTTCCTCTTAGGCTTCGGCCCGTCGTTGAATACGTGCCCCAGGTGCGCGTCGCACTTCGAACAGGTCACTTCGGTCCGCACCATATCTGGGTTTGCGATCAGCAGTAGTAGATTGCCACCGACTAGTTGGCGTCATTTAATTCGACGCGCCGTGCGATTTTCAATGGTGTTGTTTTTTTTTTTTCAGTGATGAGAGTGAAGAGTGGTTCAGTGGTGGTAGTAGAGCCAGGGATTGATCAAGGAAGGCGAAAGGAGAAAGAACAATAGAGTGTGATTAGACGCAGACCGACACCCTTTTCTCACGAATATACAATTTTCAAGAGGTAACAGAAGCGATCTAAAAGATCTTGGAAGAGAAAAACTAAAGATTGATCAGATCGTGAGGAAACAGCTAACATCCATATGATACTAAAAGAATAAAGATAGAGAAATGCGTACATATGTGAAACAATTTTGCTCAATATATATACATTTTTACATCTGATTTTTGCCCATTAGTCATCATTAATTATATGCTTCCAATTCAATTATACGCTTACTTAGCAATATTGAAAGTTACGCAATCATACATACTTTATACATTGCATTTGTAACTATAATATTTTTTCAAATGCATATCGCATTTTTATTTTTATCATTTTATTTACGTTATTATATAGAAATATTGTTAAGTAATTTACACTTTTAGCTGTGAGTATTGAAACACACAAGTGATTAAATATTATCTCAATTGTGGCGTAATTATATAACGACAAAAAGCAAAGGAATTTTATTTGCATCGAAGAGATATGCTTGTAAAAAGTGATATCTATATGCGTTAAGGGTTTGCAACTAAAAAGAAGGCATTATTCGATTGCTCTTAGCTAAAAATGAACGTTACGTTTATCGCGAGCAATTATCAATAATTTTATACTCATAAAGTATCAAACAATGCAGCAGATATCTTTGTCTATCCTTTGGTCATATCACCAATGTTTCATAATGTACGGCTAGCATATTAGTTTAATACAAAAATTGATGTAAGTCTAACACAATCACACTCTAAGCAAGTGCATGCAGGAACTGAGGAGAACAGGAAATTTCGTCTAATGTACATAACATTATATTTACAGTGAAAAGAAAGAAGATAGACGAATGCTGTATATATAGAATCTGTTTTTCTTACAAAAAAATTCTCTTTTAAATAAGTATCTACGTAGGAAGTTTCTACATTCGTAAATATGTGAAACAAGCCCAAGGAGCGAGTGAAAATGTAAATATAATCATGATCTTTGCTACGAATAATTTAATGAAAAATTCAATCTTATGAGAAACTAAACATAAATAGATTTCTACTTCGGACAGGTATATAGAAGAGTGAAATGTGACCAGGATAGGTTCAGTAATATTATGTAAGTGTATAATTATGATACATGTTGCGATTGTGATCTTGTAAATAGTGAGCGGGTGCAACGCTGGAAATGGAGACTCGCACTCACAAGATACGGTGACTATAAATATTATCTCAATTGGCGTAATCATAACGACAACGTGTAAAAGCAAAGGAATTTTATTAGTATTGAAGAGATATGCTTGTAAAAAGTGATATCTATGCGCTTTAAGGGTTCGCAACTAAAAAGAAGGCATTATTTGAGACAAAAATAAATGTTACGTTTATCGAGCAATTATGAGTAATTTTATACTCAAAAGTGCTATACGATATACAGCAGTTATATCCAAAATCCGTTCTAAGTGGTTTTAATGTACCCGCGCACTATTGTGCGACGTTTAACGTTAAGATGAACATGAGGCGTGAACCAGAATAGTGCGGCTTCTAACTAATTGTAAGAACGCGAGCAGAATTACGAGAGATACGCTAACGAGGTGGCGATCGCTTACCACTAGAGGTGTCTTTGGTCAGTTTGATGCGTCCCTGATCCAGAACCTCGTTGAACGCAGGCCAGCCGCAACCGCTGTCGTACTTGGTGTCCGAGGAGAACAATTCCTGATCGCAGACGATGCAGGTGTACGTTCCCTTCTCGTAGAACTTGTTGTAGCAACCGGTAAACGGCCTGCGGTCAAATAAAGCGTACGAATGAGTCAGAGGAGGAGGGTGAACTGGGGCGGACGCTAGGGGTGGAAAGGTGGAATGAGGGAAGACTGAAGACACAAACCGTGACACACATATAGCTTATTTTTAAACTTGCTGGCCGTGAGGCCAGCTCGCGCGCGGGCAACGCACAAAGCCAGACGCTCTTGAAAAAGTTATTTCGAGTGTTCCTCGTCCTAAGATTAAACGCGCGTGAAACGGGACTTTGCGCTCTCATCTTTAATTCATTACGGCCGCGGTAAACTGTGTCACGTTGCGATCTTACGTTGCGAAAATGCGCAACATGAGAGATAAGGCATTAACCGTTAATATTACACTGTTAGGGCTCAGTCACAATGAGAGGAATAAGGAATAAGATAAAGGAATAAGGAATAAGGGAATGTTGCATCTCACTTCAGTACACGTACATTAAAGTGAGATGCAATGTGCCTTATTCCTAATTCCTTTATCTTATTTCTTATTCCTCTCATTGTGACTGAGCCTTTACATTTCACACGCATGAAAGTGTGAAATCATATCGGATAAAGATAAACGTATATTAAACGTCGATACATATATTATTCTTATGTATTTCGTTAAACATATTCGCTCGGGATTTATGCGGAGCACAATACCAATCTCCGAATGCCAAAAGTGACGAGAACCGAGAACCCTCCGGCGGATTGCGTAAATATAGAGCAGACGAGGAATAACATCCGCTCGTGTCATCAATATAATTAGCACAATTCGACCGTGCCCGTCGCGTTATCGCAGTTGCGCAATCTCCACGTTGCGCTTTGATCGCTTGTTACAGAATCAGCTGGTCGCCGCGGGGCAAGGGGCAAGACAAGGCGCGATAACGGGGGGGGGGGGGGGGGGGGGTGGTGGTTTGCTGGTTGCGGGGGGGTGGGAAAGGGAGGGGGTGCGCGGCTTTGGGAGAAATTTCCTCGAGGAACACACGTTCCTCGGAACGAGGCAAACTGAACTAGACCCGGCGCGGCGGCGATCTCGCTCCAGATCATCGTCCCGGTGGCCAAAACAAACCGTTCGACCCCACGTCGTCGTCGACGACGTCCTCGTCGCCGCGAGCGAGCACGTGGGGAGCGTTCTCGAGGAACACCCGCGCCGGGGTCGGTATCGCGCCGTCTCCCTGATGTAGCCCTCACCTCTCGGTGCCCTTCTCCTGCGTCACATGCCACTGCAGCGGCGTCAGGCGCTTCCGCACCTCCTCCTTGTCGACCGCCGTCGTCATCCTCCTGATCGCGCCGAGCGTGTGCCGCAGAATCTTGATAAGCCGCAGGATACGACGCGAGACGTGAACTTCACGCGCGAACGATTTCACGCGCTCCCGTCGGGTCGGAACGTTCTGGACAGTGGACAGGCTCGCCGGGGACGCGCGCACGCTTATCGGCCAACTTCGCCGCACTGAACAACTGAACCGGACTGAACCGCGCTGCGAGCTGCGAGCCGCGCGGACTGCGGAGTAGTGCGGAGCGCGGCGACCGATTGGCGCTCCAGTCACGTTCCAGGGTCCAAGTGGTCCAATATAGATCAAGTTACGAAGAATCCGCGGCCGCGGATGGTAACTTATTCATACGCCAACGAAAATAGGGAAGGTATTACGCGAGAAATTAACCTAACCGATTAATTTTTAATCAGAATTTGGCTTGAAGAATAATGCCAATCTGGTTCTTTCTGCAGGTATTCATATGGTTTAATTGATTCGATATGTAAGATCGTCCTCAGAGGACGTGATCGAGTGACGTAGTGACTTCTTAAAACTTTTCAGACGTCTTATAAAATTGTTAGAAGGACGTCTTTAAACTTTTGGTAAAGATGCCTTAAAAAAGACGTACGTCTTCAAGACATCTTTTAGTAAAAATTTAAAGACGTCTTAAAAAAGACTGGTCCCAAGTCCACTAATGAAATGACGTTATATAATATCTCGAGATCGTATTTAATATAATCTTAAATGTAATATATCGCAACGATGCAACAATGACGCACGACAAAGACAATTGATTTCGATTAAATTTCCGCGCTCCGATTAACACTTAACCGGTGATTTAATTCAACCGGCAGAATCGCATAAAGCAAAACATATATTTCTAGCTAAAATTCGTCGCCCTAAGTTAATATATATTTTTCTTTTCCACAACAACAGAAAATTAATTATTTTATTCACGCTCGAATTTGTATTTTTGCGCATATCTCGCTGTAACGTCGTGGACTTAATCACCGACCATCGGTCACGTAGCACTTTTCATAATTATTCCCGTATTCAATGGATCTGATAAGGGCAAAGGTTTATTCGTGATCAGTGTAGTGCAAAAGAGAAAAATTTAATCATTTATGACATTTCATGCATTTAATTATTTAGATTATGGGTGCCAATCTTTTTTATCAAGATCAGGGCTATATTAAAATTGTTATATCAAACGAAGGGCTTCGGATGAGTTTGTGTTTTGCGCGTTAAACATGCAGGAAACGCGAGTGAAGAAAATGACGTAATTATTATTGCCGATTGAAGTTGCCACGACAGATCGCCCTTTGCTTCGCTATATTGCTTCTCGAATAGATAGACGACTTTGCGGAATCGGCCATTCGCTTTTGTGCACGGAAATCGAAATCCTCTGCCTTACTTCGTTATTCTTTCGACGAATTATTTTCTCGCGACGCGTGTAAGAAAACATATACATACACTGAGAAAAAAATACTGTTGCTTCAATTAAATGTGGAATTCCGGGGTGCCAAAAACATAAATAGTTGATTCAACTATAGTGTAGTCGTTTTAATAATTCAAATATTGAATTAACTATGTCCGCGGTTCATTTGACGGTACAAATTATTCGAAGCGTTCTTCTTCTCCTTCTTTCTTCATTGAAAGAAAGAAGAAAAAGAATGCTTCGAAGTATTTGTAGCGTCAAGTGGACCGCAGCCTATTTATACAATTGAATCAACTATTTATGTTTTTGGCACCCCGGAATTCCACATTTAATTGAAGCAACAGTATTTTTTTTCAGTGTACATCGCGCTGGTCGTGACGATCGAGCTGTTCGATCGTTCAATTATCGTTCATTATCGCCAATGCGAGGACTGAAAAAATGGATCAAAGTTGCGCGACCAATATAAGAAACGACACGAAATGAAACATTAAACATGTATATTTTATGCTAAAATGTAACCTACTTTCTGAAAGAAGTTGTAAGCCGCAAAGGTAACCGAATTATGTTTATATCAAACAGTTATTATATTGAGATATTAAAGTAATGCGATAT